CTTAAATTTCATTAGAGAATGCTTTTTTTTTTTCAACATAAAATACACTTAAAAACACTAGTCTAGGGTGGGAAAGGACAAAATGTTATTAATGAATCTTCATGCACCTATAATTTATTAAATTTATTTTCGTCTTTTCAAACTTCATATTGATATTTTTTTAGTGCAAAATGGCCTGAAAAGAAGAAAAGAAAATCTAATTTCATTGAGAACAAAAGTCTATCCACAAGAACTTTTGTACGAGATGTGCTAGTTATTATTATTTTTTTTTATAAAAGAAACATTAGTTAAGTGTTAGTATTTATTTATAGGTTAGTATTGAAGTCAAAACTGAGTGAGCTCCACCTATTACTTTTTAAAGTGACATGATCCATCTACTGGGATGAGGAAAGTTCAATGTTCTAGTTAATTTCTAAAATAGAGAAACCTTTCTTTTCTTTTTTTTTGGTAGAAGAGAGAAACCTTTCTAAGAACATGCCAAAGGGACACTTGATATATGGCTATTAGCTTGTTTGGACCTTACTAGTAACCTTAGGATGACATCGAAATTGCAAAGTTAATCAAGATGCTTGGTGTGTGTGAAGTTGTAAAGGACACTGCTTTGGCGCTTTTTAACTTGCTTTCTTTTTTGACTAATCCTGTTAAACTGACATATATTTCATGCTTACGTACGTAATCATAGAGATAACTTGACAAAAAAAGTTTAACATTCTTTTTCTTTTCTTTTTTTTAAACATGGAATCTGAGTATCAATCCAAGTTGGATGCCACAAATCCTCTGTATTAAGGGTCAAATTAACATTAATTTCCTCGATCATTTTTTTTACTCCCCAATCATCCGTTAAAGCCAGCCCATCAGCATGACGCATGAATCTGAAGATACAAAGAATCCCTGTAATCTATGTGACACCTAATGAGGTCATCATCTTTTCCTCATGCAAGTAGTCAGATTGCAATCCAAAGTATATCTTATTTTTTAAAACAACCCTTCCAGGCTCTAACCACTTCAATTTTATTATCGATAATAATTTTAGAATAATTTTTTTATTTTTTTTATACAATTTAATGTATTATTTAAATAATTTATTTATTTTTATTTATGTGAAACTCGTGATATTAAATGTATTTACTTATTTAATGACATATACAAATTGTATAAAAAAATAATATAAAAAAATTGTTTCTATAACAGTACCTATTATCTATTCAATCCTTCCCGTGACCTCTACCACAAATATGTTATAGAAAATGAGAAAGATTTCAAATTCAACTCCTAGAATGGATGGAGAGGGGTTTGAAAAATAAAAAGTTATTCATGTTATATAATCAATTATCTAATATATAATTAAAAAAGAAAGAGAGAGAGAGAGAGAAAGGAGTCTTTTTTAATCTAGAGTAATTAGAATATAAAAATGCCAATATCAGTATGAAAAGACAAAAATACCCTTAATGATTATTAGCCATGCACAATATCATTAAGGGCATTTTTATCTTTTCATATCTAACAGATATCTATTTTAACCCACCACTCTTTGATTTTAAAAAACAAAAGAAAAGAAGCAAGTGGGTAGAGAGTGAAAGTAAGTACTAAAGGTTAAAAGGGTGTTATCTAAATCATATAGTTTAAGGATATTTTGTTTCATAACATATGAACGATTTTGTTATGTAGGACGGATATTGTTATTTATGGACAGAGAATTTTTTAACAGAACAAGTAGGGGATTTGGTGCTTCTTTTTCACTTTTTTCTATTTTTTTTCAATTTTTTGAAAAATTTTATATGATGCTGAGAAATTGGAGACAGCGAGACAAGCATCTCATATGTACTACAACTCTACAAGCATTAGGACGAAGATAGATTTGCTGAGTTTGAAAGTATGGATAGAATATATATTCTACGTAATGAAATTTAATTTATATATTAACTGAAAAATGGGAACCATACTCGGCTCATGTGATTGTCAAGTGGAAGGTGTAAGTCTAAAAATCATATGAATTTGAACTTTGAAATATCATATGATTTGTATACGCAGAAATTGACCTAATGGATCGTTCTGGTCCAAATTTCAAAGGCGATAGAAATTTTGGTGTAACATTTTACATTTGTATGGTCAGAAGCAGGAAATTATCCAGGCCTCTACTCTTTTTGGGTGCAGAGAAGACGAATTTGTTCTATTCAATAATTCAATTCAATTAGAGTGTTGACATGAAATCAGAGTGAGGGAGAGAAAAGATAGTGAGATTGGGAATTTTTTTTTTTTTTTTAAGACAGAAAAAGAATTCCACCAAAACTTAAAAGTAGTTTAGATCGGAGGCATGGGTGGAAGTGGAGCTAAAGAAGCTCATGTTTAGGTACAAACCTAACAAACTCAGTCCCGGAGTTTTAAAAAGTTAAAAACTAAATGTCTTAATTATAAGGAAGTTATCTTATTTTTTTGAATAATAATCATATTTAAAGTTTTAAAAAAGCTTGAAAAACAATAACTTATACACAAGAAATTACCCTATCCCAGCACTTAGGCCTCAGAAAATTAGAAACAAGGCAGAATACCCAAATCCACTCCAAAAATATAATGGTAGGATTCACTCCGAACAAAAAATGAGGACAAATTCACCTACAAAATTTTCGACTTGGACAAATCACCTAAAATTTAACGTGTGATGTCATTTGACACCAGTAATCTGTTAATTTGCCGTTATCTGACATCAGCAATCCATTAACAAATTAACGGATTGTTGATGTTAAATGCTGTCACACATTAGATTTGGGGTGATTTATCCAATTCGAAAATTTTGTGGGTGGATTTGTCTTTATTTGTTTGGAGGTGAATCTATTCCTGCCATCATATTTTGGGGGTGAATTTGAGTATTTTGCTTAGAAACAAAGATATACATACAGCATGAGAAAAATTTTCTACTCTAAAAGGACTAAAACCCTACCCAAAACTAT